TATTCAACGCCGTTGTATTCTTAACCCCTGTCGGGGAATCCTTTACAAAACAGTCTGGTGTCGTCACATTTATTATCTGCCAAATGTCAAATGACCCCCTCCTCCAAGGGAGATCACAAGAGTAATAAGGAATTGAGATGACTGCGTCCCTTCCTCCCCTTGCTAAGATTCATGTAAAAGCACGCTCCGTATAAACACACGCTATGGAGCCCTCCCGAGCACCGTGCGTTTAGGCGGAGACTACTGTACAGTCAAATAAATGACGAAGATATCATAAAGTGTTACAAGCGAGTAACAAACTCCCCAAAAAGGAGAGATAAGGACGACAGATGTTTGACCAGGGGGAAAGGAGCAAACCACTCCAGAGCACCCTCCAACCACCCACTCCCCTTCAACACAAAGGCCCCGCCCACTGGTACCTCATGAATCATCTGGTAATCCATTCTGTAATTACTGTATTCAGTCTCAATTTAAAGTTTAGTTTTAGTAGAGGTTTTACGGCGCTCGCAACTGCATACTACTAGTACTACATAAGGTCATATGAGTGCCAGAAGGTTAGCTAATTAGAGGTGTTTGTTTACAAGAGAGTAACAAACATAAAAAAAGGAGGGGAGATAAGGACGATAGATTTTTTATAGGAAAGAAGAAGCAAACCACACCAGAGCACCTGCCCACCACCCACCTCAATTTAAAATGTGAATGTTGTTTGAGTAAAGTAAAATAAAGACAGACAGAAACAATAGAAGAAAGTGAAGTAGGAACTGTCAGCCAGTGTCGCTCTCCAACCACCCAAAAACATGGTCGCTTTAAGGACAAGCGGGCTAACCCAGATTTTGGGTGTTTCCAGAAATCTTGACCTGTACCAAAAGTGGCCATTGTCCTACCTATAGGAGAAGTTTGGTTTCAATAGTGTGTATATATTTTTTTGTATAGAGACAACTGTCCTGTCTGTTTTTAAAGAAAATGAACAAAGGGCAAAAACTATCTTCGATTTTCTCAAACTCAAAACAGCATTTTTCGTGGAATAGCCCCCTCGTGCTTAAAATTAAAAGCGACCATTTGAGTCTAAATCAAACTCAGATGTGAGCTAAACAAAGGGACACTACTATTAGTGCACCGCCTACCACTACTGTTGTAATTTTAGTTACAATAAAGTAAGAGTGTGTGTTTACGGCACTTGCAACACAACAAGGTCATATAAATAAGTGCCGAAGATTAGAGTTAGAGGTGTTACTCTGTTACAATAGAGTAGCAACAAACAGAAAAAAGGAAGATTGATCAGGATGATACACATGTAGATTTTAAAAAAATAGTTATATAGTTATAGTAGAGGCTTTACGGCGCTCGAAACTGCATAAAGTCATATGAGCGCCAGAAGATTAGAGGTGTTACAAGAGAGTAACAAACAGAAAAAAGGAGAGATCAGGACGATAAACATCATGTAGATGATAAGATGTTTGATATGAAAGAAGGAGCAAACCACAGCAAAACCCTACACTGACCATCTTGCCCTTTGCCCAGGAGTTCTGACTGCTGGACCGACAAGCACTTATAAGTTAATTGCAGGCCATATCATCATCACCCAGTGCCAGATCTGCGACAGACATCGGTGATCATGGTTGTCCATTCATTCCTTTGCTCGGATGCTCTCAAAAAAGCCATGTTTCCCGGTTACACATTTGTTTAGGTTCCCCTCTGAGCCTTCCCCTGCCTCGCTTGCCCTAAATTTTGCCAGTGAGAGCAAGATGTTCAAGACCCGTATGTCTATTTATGATGTGTCCCAAAAACTGCATTTGTCGTTTCCTGATTGTTTTTAACACATATATATACTTTTATTGGAAGGGGTGAGCGCGACACCCCAAACAAAATTTACAGTGGGTTCACAAAGATCCAAGCAACGCTAACCACATTACATCTATATATTGAAAGACCACAGACTAACCCGTGTTTAATCAAACTCACGCTTAAATGTACCAAGCATAGAACTTTAGTTTTAGTAAGAGTTTTACAGCACTTGCAACACAATAAGATCATATAAGTGCCCAAGATTAAGAGGTGTTACAAGAGAGTAACAAACACAAAAAAGGAGGGGAGATAAGGACGATAGGTGTTTGATAGGAAAGAAGGAGCAAACCACACAAGAGCACCCGCCAACCACCCATGATGAACATTAGAGGTGTTAGACAGTGTTACAAGCAAGTGACAAACACAAAAAAAGAGGAGAGATTTTTAAGGAAGACAGATGTTTGATGGGAGAAAGGAGTAAACCACCCACTTCCCTTCACAGAATCACAAAGGCCTACTGGTACCTCATGAATCATCTTGTAATCCATTCTGTAATTATTCAGTCCCGATTTAAACATTTGAATGAGACACCTCAAACAAAATTTACAGTGGGTTCACAAAGATCCAAGTAAGGCCAACCACCTTACAACATTCACCACAGACTAAATCTCCTGTGTCAAACCAGACCCATGCTCAAATGTACCAAGCATAGAACTTGGGAAGTATGGTACTGCACACACACTAGAAAAGGAAGCATTACTTTCCCAGCACACAGCAAGAATGTAAAAGTTTAAAAGAAAAAAAAGAAGAAAGGAGGCGTAGCCCAACAACCACGACACGATAAAGGACAAAAATTCAAAAAACGCAAGATATGATTTTACATTTTTATTTTCTTGCTTTGAACGTCATTTAAAAGAAAAATCCCAGAATTTTTCCTCCCAAGTGCTTTCTTCTGGCTTCTTCATGGTCCATGATGCCCCCTGACGTAGTCAGAACAACAAACCTGGGGAGAAAAGAGAAAGCATTTCTGTTAAAACACTACGGTAAGGGAAAGCATAACCAATCATCACGGGTAGGGGTTGGTGATTGAGCAAGCCTGGCCTAAAGTAAAGAACACAAGTTGGCCAATGTCAGAATAAACCTACTGCGAAATACTTCACTCAGCTGGGCGTGGCAAGAAAACAATGCGATTCTTTCCCAACCTCCTTAGAATTCAAATTACTATAATTACAAGGGTAAAACAATGCGATTCTTTTCCAACCTCCCTAGCATTCAAATGACTATAATTACACGTGTAAAACAATGCCCAGAACTAGAAAAATTGTATTACCCTCAGCTCAAACCTGGATTCCACCAAAAGATCATAAATAACTTTGACAAACGGATGAATCCTTCCTTGCATGAGGCAGCAAAAATCCAAACGATTAAAGTAAAGCTCCCATTTAAAAAACAGAAAGAATTTTGAAAGTTCTAGATCTTCACTAGCAACCCTACAATAATGCAAACCGTCAAGTCCTATGCATTTCAAGAAACGGAAGACACGAAAAGACACATTTGTCCATTGTACTGTTTGCCTCTATGTTTATCACACATATCAACAGGCCTTCACACTCAGTATATAATACAAGCAACGCAATTGTCTCTGGGAAGCTACATCAGATACACACGAGCATGTGGCGGCACTTGACATATTTCATGACGTCACTAGCACTAGGCTTTTCTCACTTCTTAAGCTGTCCCTGCCAACAAAATTCTGAAATTACGCAAACTGAGCCAAAAAATGTGAAATTATACGATTCTGTTAATTTTAATAAAGAATGATTAAGGTAAATAATCAGAAATTATGCAAAACATGATCAAATTTTGCTTAATTATGAGGGGTGCATAAAAGCCTGGGGACAGCTTTACGCCAATGCTATCATGGAGTACAGCATGGTCAGTATCTAGATTATAATGTGCTGTCTGGCAGATTAATCCTTCAAAAGGATGAATTAACTTGCACTGTCCGGTCCACCAGAGGGGAATTAATATGAGAACTTCATGAAAATTAGGGTGAATCAGAAAAAATCTTTCACTTCCTATTTTTTAGGACAGAAATATGAACCAAACATGACAGAACTGTAAATTGAGTGAAGTAAAAACGAAATAAAAAGGTTAAGAAGGCCGAAAAAGTCAAAGAAAAAGCACAATACCAAAAGATATATATACAAAAAACAACAACCATTAAATAAAAAAATTTTCCCCTCAAGCACAGCAGTCCCACCTCTATACGGTCAAATTTGGTGTGCATTTTGAGAGCATGCCATCTAAACTGAATAAATTGAGCACTCCTGCAAATATCAGTTGAAGTAGATTTCACTGTATTTGCTGCACACGCAAGGAACAGCGCTTCCAACAGCTGAAGCTAAAAAAGGATGGAAAATTTTGCCGGGGGGGGGGGGTCTGAGGGCTGCACGCAGGCCCCCAGCACGGTCAAAGGACAGCGTCCCAGTGGGGGCTATGGGGGACAAAGCCCCCAAAGAAATTGAAACTCTGTGCAGGGTTGAAAATGGCATTTGGGAGCCAAGTGAAGAGATTGCCTACAATCCTGAACATTTATTTTTCCCATCAACATTTTGTCTTGTTTTAATTCTTCACCGACATATCTTTTCATTGCTGACAATGTTTAAATGCAGGTTCCCCTTCCACTGCTATTATAATTCAATTAATTTTGCCACCACACCACTGATAGAAGGCAAACCTGGGAACAATTAATAAATAAGTGTGTACCTTCATAACACAGTATCCAGCGTAATTCATCCTAACTTTCCCCAATATTCATGCCTGAATGACGCATGTCACAACCCTGGAACACCACTTCGAAATATTCTTGAATTTAGTCGTTTTAGCATAATTTTTTTTCACTGCAGCCCATCATGATCCTGTGCCATAGAATTTAAGCATTGACAACTTCTCTAGATCTAGACAAATTTGCTATATGGTTTCTTTCGGACAGTAATTTTCTAATTTTCTGTCTAAAATTACAAGTCAATTTACTTGATCAACGTACAAAAGTTCCAGCCACAGCAACAATTGAAGATAGAAAGGAGGAAACTAGCACAAAAAGCTTGCCGGATATTTTTATCAACCAGCAGGTAAAAATGCACTGCCGACCAACCCCCAATGAATGCACGGGGCCTAGCAGAATAATGGCTTATTGCAGGAAATGCGCAATCAAACAGGTTTCTATTCAACATTAACTCATTGCAGAAAGAATTACCGTAAATACACGGAACTTTAGACTACACAAAAGGCGAGTACCGATCCTATGCTACGGAATTTCGGTAGTCCTACACTTTTTTAAATGGAGGGGGTTGGTAATGATGAAGAAGCAAGTATGGATTTTCATAAAAATACGGAAGATAGGAAGCACTGAAGGAAGGAATGCCACCTCACCCGAATAAAATACTGTAGTAATAAAAAAGTCAGGAAAATATGACCACGGTACAGAAATAACAATAATGAGAATAATTTCTATAGCGCCCACTCCTGTGTGAACACAGCTCTAGGCGCTTTACATAAATGCATGTACGAACAATATTCATACACACACATCGTGACAAAACGAGCACATACAAATACATAATTCATTTTTCTAGAGAGGGAGAAGAGAGCTTACCCAAACTGCCGAGACGGTAAGAGATTTGTGGTCCACTTTTCCATGTCTCTGATGGAGACGTCGAATCTGGGACTGACCACTCCACACTGAAAAAGAAAAATGAGAACATTCATGACTGGTCTGAATTGAGCCACCCCCCCCCCCAAACTGTTATGAACGGATCTGTAGCCAATCTATTCTTACCTACTAAAAAAGGAACACAAGAAGATGACATATAGGTTAAAATGAACGAAAAATGTAATTATTATCATTACACACCAAAAGTGGGCAGTGCCTAAGCAAAGGTACCTTGGCACCATCCTTCCAAGATTTCAGATAGAAAACTTTACCTACACCAAAAGTGGGCAGTGCCCTACCTATAAGAGAAGTTTGGTTTCATTTCATTGGTATGTATGTTCCTGCCATGAACTTCCCACCAAATTCAAGGAGATTGAAAGGAGAAATTAGGCGATTTTTTTTTCTAATTTCCGGCAGTCACCCTCTGTCCTATCTGGCAAAATTCAAGTAGTATTAAAGGACTCCTTGAATTTAAAGAGGCAGCGGGAACCATGTATATATTTGTTATAGAGAAAACTCAGCTTGATTTTTAAAGAAACTGAACAAAGAGCAAAAACTTTTCCATGGATTTTTCTCAAAACAGCATTATTCGGGATAGCCCCTGAGCTTAAAAGCTGCAAATTATCTCACCCCAAAATAAGTGTTGTGAGGTTGACTGTGTATGAAATAAATGGCCCTCACTGGATTTAAAAGCAACCAAAGACCCTTCATATATATCAGTTTTGTTCCCCCTTATGGGACCGATTTTGGTGAGGGGTTTACAAATCTCACACCACACTGCGTCATGATCGCATGCACAAGTCAACAGCCAAAAGGACTTTTGTTCCAGCACAAGCTGATTCTACTGACAGAGCTTCTTCGCGCGCTCATATGACCTTAGCAGTTGCGAGCGCCGTAAAACCTTATACTACTACTACTAGAGCTTCTTCAATGTGACAAGACCCAAAGCACTTCACCACTTCTTGGAACTAGGAGCAATGCACAACCAAGGGGAGACTTCTAGTTCTAGCCACCTTCAAAGGGGAAATGCTCGTACATATAAAAAGCAAAAGCCAAATCTAACGAATTTGTACCATTGACTCACCTTGTTTAGTCTGCCAGTCAAATTGACGACAATTTTACCACTCCTGTGGTCATCAATCTGTTCGAATTCACCAATGTAGCCTGAAAAAAAAAATTGATCAATATTAATCACATAATCATACATGTCAGACTATCAATATATGTTTCAATTGATACTGGGAAGATGACTGCACTGGAAACCCAGAAAGAGAATCCCCCCCCCCCATACTTTTAGACTTCGTCACTGAGGGAGAACTAAAACAGGTTCAAACTGTTGCTTAACTGCATGAAAAAAAGTAAATCATGTGTTTACATTTGCGAAGCAAGGAAGAGAAAAACTTTCACCATTCCAATGTCCAAGAACTTTTTAGTTGGTAACACATACATTAAAACCTTCAGTATTAAACAGCCTATCAGAGTCTGTCGGATTGAGGATCCACCCCGAAAAGCCAAAGATCCTAAGGACAGTTGCACAACGAAATGAGCAGCCACGATAAATTTTTATTTTCACTCCAGCACACAGCCACTAAAACTGTTGCAAATCAATTATTTTCAAGAAAATTTCAAATTATGGGTTAAAACAGGGGGGCATGACACCCCAGACTTTCTTTTACCCCAGGACCCCCCCCCCCCCCCCAGATTGGTCCAAAGCACGTCTATCTCTATTCAGAACAATCAGATATTTAAAAAACTATTCATTTGCGACTGAAATTAAGTTGATATTTGTGCTCAGCGCATCAATAGTAAGTAGAAAATGGACAACTGGTAGCTAAGTCTGAGACCGGAGGGAAAGTAAAAAAATACCCAGGTCACAATAGAAGGAAAAGCACCAGAAGATGTTGAATTCTTCTATCTTGGGAGTAAAATTGACAGAGAGGGAGGAACAGGAGCTGAAATAACGTCTCACATTGGAAAAGCACAGGTTGCTTTCATATCTTCGAACAAAGCTGAGGATTTTCAATTCAAATGTGAAGTCAGTCCTGTTTTATAAATGTGAGACACGGAACGCATCAGACTGGCATATATATACAATATAGAGGATCCAGGTTTCCGTGAACAAGTGTCTAAGGTAGTTACTGAGGATCAGATGGACAGACAAGGCCACCAACGAGGAAGTGTTAAGGAAAACAAGACAGCTCCCAGTCAGAGATGAGGTAGGAAGAAGGCGGTGGCGATGTATTGGGCAGCTGCATATCAACGAGTGTTGGATAGGAACCTACAGGGTAAAAGACCAAGTGGAAGACAGAATAACACCAAGAGGCTGGCCCAGGATAGAAAAGGTGGAAAGTGTTTGTCCGTGGTCTCTGCCCAGGTGCAGGGGCGAGAAACGCAATGGCAATGATGAACACATTCATCAGCACTGAATAATTTATAAATTAGTAGACCATCACCAAGTCTACATCTTAGTGTCCAAACACCTATGTGGCGCATGTTTACAAAATGAGTTACTTCTCAAGACCCATGAATGAAGTCGGCCAAAAAGTGCAGTCAAATCTGGATACATGTATTTTGACTGATGCCATTTTTAAGCATAATGTCTTTTAAAATTTCGTATAACAAATCGAGCAAACACAACAGGAAAACCGGGTGCTTTTCTAGTCGTTCCCACCCCCTTATTTGAGCCTAGATCTACATCTAGAATCTAGGTTTATACGTTGGTTGCGCGGCGAGCTAAGATATCAAACCTAACAACCTAACAACCGCAAAACATCAAATTATGGTAAAATCAGGGGATGTCCCCCTGAAACCCCCCACCTTATTATTATGTCAGCCCCCTCCCCTACTCTTGGGGCCAAACCCTGAGAATAACAATAGCGAGGTGGGAACTACAGTACTACAGAAAAAGCGCCGAAAATCTGACAATTTCCATAGGGCTCACTGCGTCATGATCGCATGCACAAGTCAACAGCCAAAAGGACTTTTGTTCCAGCACAAGCTGATTCTACTGACAGAGCTTCTTCAATGTGACAAGACCCAAAGCACTTCACCACTTCTTGGAACTAGGAGCAATGCACAACCAAGGGGAGACTTGCTAGCCACCTTCAAAGGGGAAATGCTCGTACATATAAAAAGCAAAAGCCAAATCTAACGAATTTGTACCATTGACTCACCTTGTTTAGTCTGCCAGTCAAATTGACGACAATTTTACCACTCCTGTGGTCATCAATCTGTTCGAATTCACCAATGTAGCCTGAAAAAAAAAAAAAGATCAATATTAATCACATAATCATACATGTCTGACTATCAATATATGTTTCAATTGATATTGGGAAGATGACTGCACTGGAAACCCAGAAAGAGTACCCCCCCCCCCATACTTTTAGACTTCGTCACTGAGGGAGAACTAAAACAGGTTCAAACTGTTGCTTAACTGCATGAAAAAAAGTAAATCATGTGTTTACATTTGCGAAGCAAGGAAGAGAAAAACTTTCACCATTCCAATGTCCAAGAACTTTTTAGTTGGTAACACATACATTAAAACCTTCAGTATTAAACAGCCTATCAGAGTCTGTCGGATTGAGGATCCACCCCGGAAAGCCAAAGATCCTAAGGACAGATGCACAACGAAATGAGCAACCACGATAAATTTTTATTTTCACTCCAGCACACAGCCACTAAAACTGTTGCAAATCAATTATTTTCAAGAAAATTTCAAATTATGGGTTAAAACAGGGGGGCATGACACCCCAGACTTTCTTTTACCCCAAGACCCCCCCCCCCCCCCCAGATTGGTCCAAAGCACGTCTATCTCTATTCAGAACAATCAGATATTTAAAAAACTATTCATTTGCGACTGAAATTAAGTTGATATTTGTGCTCAGCGCATCAATAGTAAGTAGAAAATGGACAACTGGTAGCTAAGTCTGAGACCGGAGGGAAAGTAAAAAAATACCCAGGTCACAATAGAAGTAGAAGGAAAAGCACCAGAAGATGTTGAATCCTTCTATCTTGGGAGTATAATTGACAAAGAGGGAGGAACAGGAGCTGAAATAACGTCTCACATTGGAAAAGCACAGGTTGCTTTCATATCTTCGAACAAAGCTGAGGATTTTCAATTCAAATGTGAAGTCAGTCCTGTTTTATAAATGTGAGACACGGAACGCATCAGACTGGCATATATACAATATAGAGGATCCAGGTTTCCGTGAACAAGTGTCTAAGGTAGTTACTGAGGATCAGATGGACAGACAAGGTCACCAACGAGGAAGTGTTAAGGAAAACAAGACAGCTCCCAGTCAGAGATGAGGTAGGAAGAAGGCGGTGGCGATGTATTGGGCAGCTGCATATCAACGAGTGTTGGATAGGAACCTACAGGGTAAAAGACCAAGTGGAAGACAGAATAACACCAAGAGGCTGGCCCAGGATAGAAAAGGTGGAAAGTGTTTGTCCGTGGTCTCTGCCCAGGTGCAGGGGCGAGAAACGCAATGATGAACACATACATCAGCACTGAATAATTTATAAATTAGTAGACCATCACCAAGTCTACATCTTAGTGTCCAAACACGTATGTGGCACATGTTTACAAAATGAGTTACTTCTCAAGATCCATGAATGAAGTCGGCCAAAAAGTGCAGTCAAATTTGGATACATGTATTTTGACTGATGCCATTTTTAAGCATAATGTCTTTTAAAATTTCGTATAACAAATCGAGCAAACACAACAGGAAAACCGGGTGCTTTTCCAGTCGTTCCCACCCCCTTATTTGAGCCCAGATCTACATCTAGAATCTAGATTTATACGTTGGTTGCGCAGCGAGCTAAGATATCAAACCTAACAACTGCAAAACATCAAATTATGGTAAGATCAGGGGATGTCCCCCTGAAACCCCCCACCTTATTTTTATTATGTCAGCCCCCCCCCTACTCTTGGGGCCAAACCCCGCGAATAACAATAGCGAGGTGGGAACTACAGTACTACAGAAAAAGCGCCGAAAATCTGACAATTTCCATAGGGCTAAAATGCAAGTAGGGTAACTCATTTCGTCAGCACGTCTCACATATCTGTAGAAAGACAAAATAGGAACGTACCATGCTTCATCATGACACTGAGGAATCGAACAATCACTTTAGAGGCTGGCCTCAACAATACTTGGCGCTTGCCACGCTTCTCAGCCTTAGAGATGGCATTCAGAGCATCTGCCAACACGTTCATGCGCACCATCTTGAAAGCCTGAAAACAAAAACAATGGGGATTAGTGGTGAATCATGACGAAATACAATAAATTAATAATGCTGATAACACACTGAACAACAAATAATGGACTTCCGTAACAATGACCACCCCAACAGAAAAGACTTTAGATTCTAATTCTATTTCACAGTGGTCGCTTGATACCAAATTCTTCGAGATAACGGAAGTCACCATGCATCTGCCACTGACAAAATGGGATAACAGATCAGTCACGTCATAGTGTAGCCTGTACTGTCAGTACTGTAGCGTTACCACTTCTTAGACTTAGAGTAAACTACTAGAGTCTAGCCCTGCTTTTGACACAAGGCAGGATATGTGCAAGACTCAAGTAGCCTGACAAACATGCCTTGTGAGATAATCAAATTTTGTGACCAGTGATAAAAATACTGGTACGCACAGCACAGGTGAAGAAAGGAATCCTTGCCTTGTTGAATGCTGCAAAGTGAAAGTCGGGAGGAATCTCGTTGCTGTTCACGACTCAAATGGGCAATACGAAGCATTTGGCAGATATCGACAATACAGCCTACTTAGGATACAGTAAAATCACCCACAAACTGATGAAGACATCAAAGTATGAATGAACTCGGTACTGTCACAAACAAACAACTAAAACACAAAACATGCACGAATTTCATAAAATGAATCATTCGTAATGGACGGTCTGGGGAGTTTGTTTACAAAACAAAGATACTCCTATTCAAGGCAAATAATTGATTCATCATACACATGAACAAATCTTTATACATTTCATAAATCGTTACAAAGCAAAAGGAAAAGATTACAAGCCTTCAATAACGCGATGCAACTCGATTTCTCTACCCCATATATCAATTACAAACCTACCCTGCGATGGCGACAAGTTGAAAAGACCGATAACTTGTTCTTCCTTCCGGTTTAGGCAATAAAAAGAAGAGTAAACTCTATAACGACTCAAAAATATTAGCATTTGATTTATTATTACAAATTCAATTCTAAATCGTTTTATAAAATAACAAAATAATTAAATATTTCAAAATGTTAATAGTTTTAGAATAATGTATCTTAAATAGAAACTTAATTTATTTTGTTTTTTAATATTTTGTTCTACTATCTTTTTAAAATGGTGGTTAAACATGGCGTAGATAGTAAACAACAGAGACAGGATTTATACCTTGGTTGCTATGTGGTATAAAATGAGCATTTTTTCAAGAAAAGGTACGATTGGGAGCACAGGTGTTTTTTAAAGAGATGGCTGGGTAATTTTAGATTTTTAAGATAATTAGGGGGCTCTTTGGAAATTGCCTTCCCGTTTGTTTACATAAGAAACATAGACTCTAGTCGAAATCGAAGTGATTTCATTAATGAATGGGGCGATTTTGTAGTTTCGTTCGTTAAAGTCAAGCAGGGGGGTTTCAGGGGGACCTAAAAAAATATGGAGGTGGGGGGGTTCAGGGGGGCATGCCCCCCTGAATTTTATCCTAATTTGATGTTTTGCAGTTAGGTTGCATCCCTGCTCTTTGTGTAGCCTAATTCAAATAGTAGTAGATCTATATGGTCTTCAAGACTTCTGGATTTCTTCTCTGAATGTAAACAAATGGATCGTGGACTTTAACGAAGGGAACTACAAGATCACCCATTCCTGACCTGAGTGTTAAAGTGTTGGTGTTAGGAGTTAATCCTGTGGTGCGATATACCGTAAGCGATCTTTTGTGGATATCTCTGGAAGTTACAGGTCGATCTTCATGACTTTTTGACCAGAAGTTAGAAAGACTTCCTCTCTATATGGTGTAGCGCATTACTGTAACACAGTAAAATTCCTACATGTTGGTCAGGGGCGACTGGTCCATAGATCACGGTCATGCACTGCCGCCCAAAAGTTTTAGTGCACAACACCCTCAAAGTGACAACAAAAGAACCTTTACCATCCATCATCCAATCAGTTTTATGTACAAGTTCCTCGCCAGAGCCTATTCGCTCCTTACAACATCTACAACAGCTCTACAACATCTAATATACCATACCAAGTTCTTTTGCTTCACCCAAGTAAAAAATAGTATGTTCAGTGGTGTAATCTCTCTCGCAAAATGCTCTATGGGACGACGCAAACAACGATGACGTTTTGACCGAGTTTCTTAATTCCTAAATATTAATAAGGCGGCACAATCTCGATGTGCACCAGCCGAACAAAGCCTGTATAGAGGCAGTCTAAAAATAACGCAATCTCAAACCAGTTCACGACAGCCTACACAATTCAATGCCCGTATTATGATAGCTTTGGAGCAATCCACCGAAGTGCTCCCAGCGATGTGCGATTGGTCCACTGTCTTGCCATTTATATATCTAGCCCCACCTCTGTAACCCTGAACTTGAGCGAGGTCAACATAATGTAATTAAGTCATTGTGTTAGAAGTTGGAATGGTGTAGTGGTGAAAGTTTTAATACTCGTGCGTATTCCAATGCAGGATGAATGAAGTTAATTGCAAATAAATTCAGTTCACCAAACAAAGTAAAAAGAAGAGAGTGAATGAATTAAGTCCTCACCAAACTAAAAATATCAAAATCAAAATAATACAATGAATAAAAAGTGGAGTGGCTTACACAACAAATTATACTGCTTGTAGACCTAGATTAGGCCTATTGTTTCTCCTGTCTGCTTTTTGGAACTGAGGACCCCAAGTAGTCTAAGACAGGTTTTACTGATCTTGTCCATGTGAAACAACGCATTAAAGTCGAAAGTCATCAAGAGCGTTCGTAAAAAATGCTGTTAGGTATCATACTTTCGGACAAGTAGACATAGCAGCGCAGTTAGTCGTAGGTCATCGCATTGCAACGTCTCACAATAAAGAACTGGTGAGAAAAAACAGGCACGTAATGTGTAAGGTTACCTAGTGTATTTTGTCCTGTGAAACTCACGAACTCGCCCTTCGCGGTCATGAAAAGGGTGATTTGTCAGGGAACTGAGGTATTTTTCGCTAATGCTATATATCTATCTATTGTCTATAGTATAGATCTAGATTTACATCAAGTCTAGTAGGCGAATGACTTTCAGTTGATGTTAATGCACCGATCGTTCCTTTCATCGAAAGGGGGCCCTAGCATATATAACATTTACATTCTACATCAACCGTGTGTAATATAGATATATAGATCTATATATATGGTACCATGCTCGCCCTCATAAACCGTGTGAATGTCGTGTGCCCGTGCTGTGTGTTGTAAAAGCATCGAATTCCGTGCATATTTTATTATTAGATCTAGACTCTAGACGATCTAGTTTAGGAAATTTCTGCCATGATTAATATAGGCAAGATCTAGATTTAGATCTACTTATGTTTCAAGTTAACTTTGTTCCTTTACGGTACATTAAATAAATTTAAATTGCCTTAGCCTTAATTAAATGAATATATGCCCGTTTAACTGTTTAACTCCCTGCCCCCCCCACACACACACACAAACAGGTATCACACATGTTGAAAACTACTGTTTTTCTGTTTAGATCTAGATCTAGGTCAAGAATCTAGTTAGAGATTTGACTTCGAAGGATAATTTTTTTTTGGCAGGCCTAAACTTTCTATTCGAATTCATGGATGCTATTATAAAGGGAATTAGTTTTTATTTTTAAAAATTTTCTCTGGCTAGTGGTCACTCAAAACACTTTAAACAAATAAGAATCTATAACTTATGACTTTAATTATAACTATAATTACAGTTTGCACACACTTGAATAATTATTTGGTTGGCTGATTAAGTTAAGTATTATAAATGCCCTATATAGTCTTTGTACCTCAGGACGTACATTTCCTATTAAGTTTTCTGATTTGTTAATCTAATTTTTCAAGAAAATATAACCGACTCTTTCATGTCCCTGCTCAAATGCAGAGATGAGTTCCTCAGATGTGTGTTTTTCATTTTCTTCTCGTCAGCATGAACAGAAGACGAGAATGATCGTGTGAGAGAACTGTTCTGACAAGATATTCCACAATGGCTAGCACGTCTGCGAAGGTGCGCGCACAGCGCAAAATGTCTATCAACAATGTCAGTGTGAAATCCAAATACAATGTGCAGCATCGCTCTGACTTGTTGATGGATGAACACGTAAGTATCTGTGAAGTGACCACTGGCATTAAACAATACTGTTTGTTTTCAATTTATTTTTAATTTTTTTTTAGTCGTTTTAATTTTATTTTGCTTTGGTAAAGTTAATGCCCTGCTACACAGAAAAGCCGTGATTTTTTTCTCTGTTTCTTTCAGTTTATCCCGTATAACAACAAAGAAATCTTAGAAAAAAATTTCACCATCCAACTCCCACACCCCTTCCTTCCACTCCCCGCCCAAATAAAATGAAGGAAAGAAAAATGATGCTGCGAAGAACTCTAGGAATGATAGCACATGATGTTTTTTATCTGTCTCTTTCTTGTGTTGTCTTGAATTAAGCTGACAGGAAATGCATTTCTGATTTTGCAGGTTAGAAATGTCAGACAGGTTCAGTATGAGCTTCAGTCAGCACTGCAGGAACTTGAGTTTGCAAAAGGGAAGGATGAAGTGGAAAGAATTCGCTCCGAAGTTGCAGACCTGAAAGCCCAGTCACAAAAGCTGGTTCTTGCTCTTCAGGTTTGCCCTTATATTAGTTGTCTCGTCAAAACTTAAAGTCTTTGTGCAGTGTTTGTGATGTACCACCCGATCGCATATAATGTCCATTGACTGAACTTTTTTCCAAGTTTTTTTTTCCTTTTGCAATAACGAAATATGACCTTTGAAGGGTTTTTTTCCCCCATCGCGAAATAGATTCTGTCTTTCAATAAACAGCTGGAAATACTGAAATGTGAAAAATAATTTATATTACAATATATCACAGTAAAAAGAAATGTATAGGCCTACAGTGATTGATCCCATTGTCACTGTATATAAGATGAGGTTGAAAAATCGTTATCCTTCTAATCTCCTTTTTTTCATCCTTCTGAGCGCGTGGAGCCTGCTGTAGAGTGTGGCTTTGAGCTATATAATAGATAAATGCAATTGTTATTATTATTTATTGTAATTTTATGAGAAGTGCGCCTTCAGTCTGGCTTCAAGAGATGTCGTAAATTTTCTCTCTCAGGTAATGGAAAAGATCAACACTGAGCTGGCATTTGCTCGGTGTGATTTGAACGATGCCCTTCACAAAGGACTGGGCGACATCAACGCGGCGAGGAAACGAGTCATCTGGCTGGAGGACAAAATGGGAGAGTTGTGTGGGAAGAAACGGCTCAAGGTAAAGCAACCAGCGACTTCAGCCACATTCAGCCATCTCAGGGGTTTGGGATCAGAGAGGACATTTCTATTTTTAACAAGTTTAGTCACTACGGGAGATTTATATTTATGGTTCCAGCATAACATACTTAACTAGATATACTGTCACCATCATGATTAGACCAAATAGCTACAAGGGTTTTATTTCTTACCTTTGAGTTCTCATTTTTGTTTGTCCTACTTTGACCTTTTGTTGTTTTCAGCAATAGCGAAATTTTTTCCATGGGATCCATTTTTTTCATTTCTTTGTTGCACATGAAGGCTGCCTTTGGAAAGGTGCATAGGACTCAAGTCTGGAAATAGTTTTCAAATTGAAACAGAAATAATATTGAATATGTTGGTCTTTACGTTTTAAAATAGGGTACAGTTATGTGTACTGGTGTCTGCAGTGTACGTAGCAGTTAGATTCAACGCAGTCGCATACAAAACACCTGAGTTTGATTCCCAGGAGGGGAAATTTTTAATAGAGTACTTTTGCGTAATATTATTGAAATTGTAGTATCATTATTGTGTTCTGTTTCGTTTCTTCAGACACGACGTCCCAGCCACCGATTTGTCACAGATCCTACGTACGGCTGGGACACGGACAGCGAGGGGGAGCAGACGCGAAGAATGAGGCCACTGGACAGCACCGAGAGGATGTATGCCAGGTAAGCACCTAGCCAGCTGACTGGTTTGTTGGGTGAGCCAGTTTGCTGGCTGGTTGACGATTTGGCAGGTACGGTAAGCAGTTTGTCAGACAGTAAGCATTTTGCTATGGTGAAAACGGACAAAGATTGTACATAACAAGATAGTTCACTCGACCAAAAAAGTGTTTGCGGAAGTCCGCGCATTGGTTCAGATGTCGCTGAAGTCTTTGTTTTGAAGCACTCTTTCATTTTTCCAGAAGACAAATAGGAATAGTGCCCCCATGCGCATCAGCTGTTCCGGTTTGTTCAGTGCAGAGTTTTGGGTTTATTTTATTTTAACCCTATCTGTACGCCCTGGGGTCATTTTGTACCCCCGAGGTTGTATTGTTCACATTTTAGAATACTTCTAGTACGAAGATCTCTTTGAAACTTTCAGTACTTCTCAAAAATAATTTTGACAGACTGCTTTGGTAAGTGGTGGCACAGAGTTCTCCACGTCGTATGGATACGATAGACGATAGTAAAACACGACGTACGGATGGGTTGAATTAGCAATCGCGTCTTTGTTTCCCCAGCGATCAAGCTCGGCACCAGTCCCTGACTCAGTTGCTCGGGAGTGAGATTGGCTTCACGTCAGACAGTGAGAATATCATGTCTCGTCAGGTCGGATTTCAGGTAATTTTCCCTTTTTCATCTGTTTTTCTCATAGAAATTTTCACACATGTACATCGATTATATATATACATATGCATAATACTGTGTTTTACGTACACGCATGTCGATTAATTTTTAAGATGTCATGTCTTTTTCGATGTAATGCGCATTGAGTATTTTTTAGGAAATGGAAAT